AACTCTTTTTTATCTTTAATTTGGTCTTTTTAGAGTTAATCCATTAATATGTAATAATAAATGTTACTTATTAATCATTTAAGTTTTTAAATGGTTTTTCATCATTTAAGTTATTTAAATTTAAATATGTAATTTATTAATTAAAAAATAATGAAATGAAAATAGTTGGTTCACTAATAAATTGATATGGAGGGTAAAACGGAGAAGAAAGAATATTTCAAGAGGTATTTATGATATTTAAAATGGAGCCCATATGCAAAAAAAGGGAAGCGAAATGCCACGATGTAAAAAATGGGTTGAAATTGGACTGTAGTCGTGTCCAATTCAACAAAAATAGCCACCTAAGATTTCAGGTGTTAAAAAAGTCAAACTTAACGAGCATTTAACAAGATGATGATGTCACATGACGTGGCATGTCAAATAATGGGTTATTTGTCTAAGTCGAAAAATTTGTGGGTGAATTTGTCTCCGTTTTTTGTTCGGGTGTGGATCCGTCCCTGCCCCTATAGTTGAGGGGTGGATTTGGATATTTTGCCTTTGAAAGACAACGAAAAAATCCTTACTCGCCTGCTTGCACTTGCATGCAAACATTCCCATTTTGGACAATTTCGCACCACTCTCATAGACAAATTACATTTCTAAATAAAGTGCTATATAAAAAATATATATGGTCAATGACATAAATAACTCAATAATAATTTTTTTATTGAAAATAAAAAATTTTGAATTTGAATCGCATATTATATGAGTATGATAGAGTAAGATAAGATAAGGGATTGAAAAATGTTGCTTTCTGTTGTACAGTCAACATAAAAAAAAAATTATGAAAAGCAAAAGTTTAAAACTTTTGAGTTTTTACTATTTAAAATCTTTTCATTATTATTTTGAAATTTTATTTGCCAGGAAAGACTGATATTCCGCAATCCCACCACAGACACATCCCAACCGGAAAATGCTCGTTAAAAAAAAATTCATATACAAAAGAATCTCCAGTAGGCAGTAGCATATGATAATATCATGATACAATGGAAACGGC